GATGGGGACTAAATTTCCACCTTCAGCATGTACAGATGTTCAAAAATTATAAAGCTTAAATTAATTTCATAAAAGTGATGATCAGATGCATTTTACTCTACCAAATGACCAGACAATGGTCATATGGTTAAAACTGGAGCAATGAGCTCTGTATGGGAATCTATCATTGCAAAAACTGTGCCGGTCTGTTAAAGATTCCTGATTCTCATGGTGGACTAGTGTTCTGATTGTCACTCTGAAATATAGTAAAACCGAAACTTACAGAAAGAAGATCAAATCCAGCAGGTTCAAGACCAGTGACAACTTCTGCAAGACTTCTCACATGAGAGGGAAACTGTTAGGCAGAAGAAGAGCAAAGTAAAAATTGATGTCTCCGAAAAAATTTCTAAAACAAACCTGAAAATGTCCTTTACCTCAGTCATTGTAGAAATATAACCACATAATGAAGTTACTCCGGGCCATGTTGCCTCATTTGGCACACCCAACATGCTTCACATAAAATAATTGTATGTGAATAGGACTGAATAGAATTGAAAGATAGACTTGCATATTTAAGTCTGTGTGCTTAAGCTTTATAGTACCTAAACATTTCAATCAATATGTTCACCTCGCAAGTACCAGTGAACAGAGGCTGCTGGGTCACCATCTCGGCAAATATACAACCAACCGACCACACATCAACTGGGGTTGAGTAGTTCAAACCAAGCAGGAGTTCTGGTGCCCTGTATGGTAGAGTTCCCACCTGGCTAGAACTAGTTGAAGTGTGAGAATAGTAGACAACTGAACACCACCTCGGATTAACAATCATGAAGTCTGGATTTTACTCATATGATTCAAAGCAGTTTCTTGGAGTACAGTTAAAATGAAAACAAACTAGAAATAACCTCTGCTTATCAAAAATAAAAAAATAAAATAAAGGGAAAATAACAGAGGATTTTCTAAAAGTTAATTACAACTGAATGACAAAATTGATAATTTTACTTTTTAATATGTATAAAAATTTATACACAATTTTTTAAAGGGCAAATTACATCCACCTCCTTAAGGTTTGGCTAAATTACAGATATTCCTGAGGTTTTCATAACAATTTGCTTCATGAGATTTAAATTTCATAACAAATTAACTCCTAATTTGTTATACAAATATAATATTCAGGAAGAATTTGTAATTTCTCATATATTTGTAATTTGGCCAAACTTCAGGGCTATATGTAATTTTGCCTTTTTTAAATATACACATAAATAAAATTATCTCAAAAATAAACCCAAATTGAGTCTGAATAGAATAAATATACCTTCATGATTCCGACGACGGTCCCACTGTAATCAGGGAAGTTGTGAACAGCGGTGACGACATTAGCGGTGTTGAAGAACGTCTGAGCGTGCGCTGCCATCAACATGAAGCAACACATCGCCGGCACCGGCGGCCGGTTAATGACTCCGATCACCGAAAGCCAGATAAGGAAGTATCCCGCGAAGCACTGAATCGCCCCCGCCAAGTGGACCACCCACGGCCGCGATCCTCCGCCGCGGCGGACCGTCACGGCGGAGTAGAGGAGGCCGGAGAGGATTCCGGCGTTGGCGCCGATGTCCTTGAAGACGGACACCATGTCGAGCGTTGATTGGTCGTAGCCTTGGGTGGATTTCAGGACGGAGGAGTAGATGGCGAAGGCGTAGGATGCGCCGCAGATGCAGCTTGAACATTCAAGAATAATCTGTTTAACACATAGAACTCAACCACAAAGCCTAAATTTTATTTGTGTTTATTTAAAATTTATTTAAGTCTATTGATCAATCACTATTAATTGGGCTTAAATTAAATTTTTGCTAACACAGTGTCAACTTAAGAAGCTGAGGAAAGGAGCTAAAGGTTACAACCATAAAGACGGGGATAAATAAATATGAGTCATTCATGAAAAACGAAGTGATGATTCTCAATTTCGCATCATACTCTTACTTAAAGACTGGCAGGTAAAATGCAACATTAGAAAACACTTCACTTTGACAATAGCTTTCAACTAATTCAAGAGTAGTTCAGGACTTCAATGCACTGATCATCAAAGATAGGAGACCCTTAAATATTTGTGTAAATTAGGTCCCTTGAAAATTCAAACATGTAAATTGGTGAGACAAGATGACAAATGACAAGCCGATCCCCTCTCCTATCATATTAGGGTCTACATATATCTATATATATGTGGATCAAAAAATTGTCAGTCTCATTAAAAAGACAATGTAAATATTAGGAGGAGGAGGGGAAGAGTCGGTGCTAGAATTTTCCAACTGTGAAGACCATTCCTTAATATCTCATGGCAATGACAAATGTACTTATTCAAATTTGTTAAAGTTGTTTAGTTTAATTAGATTATTATGGTGTTTTAATTTCTGGAATATAGATCCTATAAGTCTTACATGTGGTACCAATACTAGAATTAAAACCATAACAGATTATCCCAGTAAAAATCATTTTTACAATGATAAGGAATAAATTGACATTTCTTTTACTGAATGTTGTTTTCGAATCTCAAAATTGTGCTTTGGTAACTTTAACCAAACCTTTTCAATATAACAAACTCATGCATACTATTTGAGTGTTGACCATTTGGTTCGGTTAACAAAATAAATAAATAAATAAATAGATATATGTTTCAAATTGTATAGTATGAAAATTGTGAAATATGGACGTGTTGAATTTGTGTTGATATATATATATATATATATATATTTTTTTTTTCAAATCTTAACTAATCAAATATAGCAGCCTGCATTAAGACTCGACCTTTTTGTACTCTTTGATTTGAAGTCTAGTATCTATTTTTTGTTGTTTGTACTCCTTCTAGTCTTGTTGTTGGTTGAGAGTGGATGTTTGAATTGTTGGGTTATGTTTTGAATAGGTTGGGAGTTTGTATTTCAAAATTTTTTTTGTTTGTTTATTCTTGGGTTCGCTCAAGCGGTCTTTTGTTTTTCTCAAAATCCATGTTTGCAGACTGAACTTCTAGGAGTATGTCATTCTTTGCTTAAGACGTAATTTCTTTACTCCAGTGGTCTTTTTGCAGTCTGAACTTTCGGAGAAGTGGTCATTATTCACTCAAGCAGTGTTCTATTTGTTTGAGCGATCTGTTCTACTGGGAAAGTGTTTTGGGAGTTTTTTTTCTTCGCTTAAGCCAAGTTTTCGCCACTCGATTAGTGTGTTGTGTCTGATGCTCAAACGATGTTTTAGTCACTCAAGCTGTCTGTTTGTATAAAGCTGTGGAAAAAAGATCTTTTTCTCACTTTTCTACTTTCTTTCTCTCTTTCTCTAAAAGCTGTCTAGGCCCATTTTCTCTTTTCTCTATCTAGTTCTTACACAAATCTCATTCTACATTCTAATCTGTGAGTTTCGTGGTATACGTGGTTTTGGATAAAAGATAGAGCGCGAGGAGGTAATCATTTTGATCTGGAAAAAGTTCAAGATCCCTGTCCATTGATTTTTGGTTCATTATTGCCTTCTCTTTCTACTATTGAGGTAGGATTTCTTTAACATTTCCGTTTGATCATTAGCCTTGTTACATACTCTTGAGTAGAGTAAGGTTTTGGGTTGATTTGCGTTGGATTTGGTTTGATTTGGGTTTGGTCTTGGATTATAAAAGAGAGATTTTCTTGGAAATGATATTGGAATGGGTTGGTATTGAGAATTTGGGAAATTGCTTTTAGAAGGTGAAATGTTGAAGAGAATATCTGTTTAGGGGTATTTGGAAATCCATAGGTATTCTTGATATGAACAAAAGATAAGGGAGTAGTTGAAATTTGAAATGATATTGTGGTAATATCTGTTAGGTTGGAAAGTGGAGTTGAACATGTATTTTTACTCAAAGTATACTTACATATATCTCTTGAATTTATCTTTTGAATAGAGATATTTGTTTGTCTATCGGTGGAGGATAACATTGATTGCTGTGAAAATTGCATGAGAACTAGATTAATTGAAACCATTCATTCATGCATTGTATTTGAACACTTGTTTTCATATTTATACATTGAAAATGTATTGTTTTGAGGGGGAAAAAAAGGTTAAATATCGTGGTAGATCTGGTTAGGCGATGTGGTTGTGGTTATTATTTATGTTGGCATGTGTGTCTTTGGTGAAAATCTAGAAACCCATGCAGTTAGGTGCCGATCCTTCCGGTTAGTACCGATAAAATGGCTTTGGTAGTGCTTGAATAGCCTATTGGCAGACATGTACTTAGAGATTCCAAGTGTGTATATCAATTGCCCTGTTTTCTGTTTTGAAAATAATTGTTTATGAATTGAATTATAAACATGGCATTGCACTGTTTGAAAGAGGAAAGTATATTGTTTTGGTAAATGACATTCATGTGCATTCATTATATGACATGGTTAAGTATCATACAGAATATTAAATAAATCTCTATTGGGTTTTAACTCACTCTATGTGGAAACCAACTTTCAGATACTGATGATATGTCTCTGCCAAAGAGTTGGCTTGGGAGGATTGTAGAGCTGAGGGCTAATCTTCTTTTGTTTTGTAATTATCTTTTGTACAAACCTAGGGTTTTTCCTTGTATTGGGTTTCGCCCCTTTTTTATTGTAACCAAGTATCGTCTTGGAAACATATAACCTTTAAGGCATAAACTTGTAATAGTACCGTTGTTCTTAGTATATTAGTCACATGCTATAAATTCATAACTTAGAGTTGATGAATGTATAAATGTATATGACGTCTTTTTTTGTAATATTTCAAGGAAAGTAATTAATGAATATTAGTTTATAGAAATGATTTCAATATTGTATGATTGAGACTATGAGCTTCCACATATCTGTTGTTAATAAAATCTTGGGGTGTTACATCAAACGTCTACAAAAGATATGGAACATATTCGTTTTTATGACTTTCACAAAACATTAAAATTGTTTAAGAGTTCTATATCATTTATATCACTTTGGTGTAATTTTTGTAAATTCATATGCGAATAGAAACATCTAATGTAATATTTTTCAGATTTTGTGTTAATTGAAATTGACATTGAAATTCATACATTCATTACAAAAAAAATTTTGTTACATATAAATTTGTCCTTCTAAGATTAAAATTCTACATTTGTCCTTGTGCAACTTGGGCAAGCTAACCCAGGTAACCCGAGTCTAATTTGAGAAAAAATTGAAATGCTTTTGTGGTTGTTAGTACCTATTGTTGGAATATGTTTCACATCGCCTACAATTGTCCCATTTGTACTAGTTATAAGACTCTAGTTTCCCTCTCCTTAATATCTGAGTTTTAAGGAGAAATGTGGGCTTTTCTTTTCAACTTGGTATTAGAATGTGTCCCACATCATTAGAATTACCCAATTTCTACTAGTTATAACATTTCAATTTTCCTCTCCTTAATACTTGTGTTTTAAGAAGTAGTGTGAGTTAAACTTTTTAATTTGGTATCAGAGCTTAATTAGGCCTATGATTAGTGTACCGTTTGTCTGGCTCCTGTATGTTGTGGTCTAGGAGGGTGTGTTGGAATGTGTCCCGCATCGCCTAGAACTGCCCCATCTATACTAGTTATAAAGCTCTAATTTCCCTCTCTTTAATACCTGAATTTTAAGGAGAAGTGTGGATTGAGCATTTCAACTCCTATCAGAGTTGGAGGGTTTTTCTTGGAAATGATATTGGAATGGTTTGGTATTGAAAATTTGGGAAGTTGCTTTTAAAATGTGAAATGTTGAAAAGAATATCTGTTTGGGGATATTTCAAAATCTTTGGGCATTCATGATTTGAATAAATGATAAGGGAATTGTTGAGATTTGAAGTGATATTGTAACGATATCTGTTGGGTTGGAAGTGGAGTTGAACATGTATTGTTACTCCAAGTATTGAAATTTTATATTTATATCTATCTCTTGAATTTATCTTTTGTATAGAGATATCTGTTTTTGGCTATCGGTGGAGGATGACTTTGATTGTTATAGAAATTGCATGAAGACTAGGTTAACTAAAACCATTCACTCATGCAACCCTCATTGAACATTGTTTTCATGTTTATACATTGAAAATGTATTATTTTTGAAAAAAATTAGTGAATACCTTGGAGAATCTGGTTAAGAGGTGTTGTTATGGTTTATATTATGTTGGTCTATGTGTCCATGGTGGATGTCCCAAAACCCACGCAGTTAGGTGCCAATTCTTCCGGTTAGTACCGGTAAAATGACTTTGGTAGTACTTATATAGTTTATTGGATGACACATACCTAGAGATTTCCAGTGTGTGTATCCACTGCCCTATTTTCTTTTTTGAAAGTAATGATTTATGAATTGGATTATAAACTTGGCATTGTATTGTTTGAGAAGAAAAAAAAAAGCGTCGTTTTGGTAAATGGCATTCATGTGCATTCACTATATGACCTTATTAAGCATCATACAGTATATTAAATTAATCTTTATTCGGCTTTAGCTTACCTTACATGGAAACTAACTTTTAAGTACTGATGATATGCCTCTGCCAAGGAAATAGATTGGGAGGATTTTGGAGCTAAAGGATCATTTATTTGGTATTGTAAATATCTACTATACAAGCCTAGAACTGTATTGGGCTTGGCCCACTTTTGTTGTAATTAAGCATCGTCTTTGAAATATGCAACTATTAAGGCATGGACTTCTCTTTTCTTCTTTGTTCTATATATATCCGTCATATGTTATAGATTCATAGCTAGGGTTAATGAATGAATTAATGCATGTGACCTCATCTTTGTACTACATTAAAGGAATTAATAAAAAAGAGAATGTTTTGGTGATATTGTCTTCTGTATGTCTGTTGAGTATTACAAGGGTATCTGTTGAGAGTTATGAGTGTATCAATTGTTTCTATTTTCGGGATGTTACAGTGATTAGTTCAAGATTTTGTTCGATCTAATAGATTTTATTTGTTTAATTTGTTTATTATTTGTAGAATAAACAATAAAAAAAAGTTTTGTTTAAAACTGCTATTTGAGTTTGACATTGTTTTGATGACTAATTCTTTGGACATATGTGGATTACTCGTATTTTATATATATGCTTATCTCATGTATATATGACTCTTAGAAATTTGTGAAGGATTTGGTATATCCATAATTTGGTAAAAAATTGCCTCTCCCTGGTTTGATACAAAGTTGATGAAATTGTTATGTTTTTATCCATTAATGTAAATAAAACTCATCAATCTTTTGCATCTTTCAATTACATGACCCCTAAGATGGAGCTGTTAAAATGAGGTCTGTTGCTTTGCATGATGTTTTTCATAGAAGTGATTAACAAACCTAATTGTCTCAGAAAAAAAAGAAAAAAAAGAAGCCCAATATTATTTTTCTTAAGAGTGATTGAAGATTGCAGCTAAAATGTTCAATCATTTGCCACTGATACTGCAAAACTTGGTTGCATTGAACCTAATATTATTGCATATGGCTGAGTTGAACTATTTCTATTGTTTCCATATGTCCGGGTTGTATTGGTATCTTCTCATTTTCATTTGTTTATTTTCAGTTGGTTGGTCAAATTGCACGTGCCGCAACCATTTTCCGAATTGACGAGGTATTACCTAAGTTTCTTAAAATTTGAGTAATTGTAAACTTTAAGTGTATAATCTAAAATATTTCTATGTATTATTGATGGGAAGTTTTTTTACTAAATTAATGGTATTCTTTTTGATCAGCAAAAGAAAATTTATTGATGAAAATCAAATGTACAAATACAAAGATGAACATCAATAAAGGGAGGCGAGTGCCAAAGCATCAAAGCAAACTAGACGATTCCAACTAGGTTGGGACCGGAAAGCAAGCCAATCATCTTACTATCAATGAGTTTTAAATTCTATCAAAATGGTATTTTGTTATGGGTTTGAGCCTAAATTAGAGTAATGGATTTTACTGAAATTGTTTGTTTTTTGGGTGAAGAGAGGAGCTGGGTTTTTTGATATTTAGCTGTTAACATTAGAGATATCTGTTTTTGGCTATCGGTGGAGGATGACTTTGATTGTTATAGAAATTGCATGAAGACTAGGTTAACTAAAACCATTCACTCATGCAACCCTCATTGAACATTGTTTTCATGTTTATACATTGAAAATGTATTATTTTTGAAAAAAATTAGTGAATACCTTGGAGAATCTGGTTAAGAGGTGTTGTTATGGTTTATATTATGTTGGTCTATGTGTCCATGGTGGATGTCCCAAAACCCACGCAGTTAGGTGCCAATTCTTCCGGTTAGTACCGGTAAAATGACTTTGGTAGTACTTATATAGTTTATTGGATGACACATACCTAGAGATTTCCAGTGTGTGTATCCACTGCCCTATTTTCTTTTTTGAAAGTAATGATTTATGAATTGGATTATAAACTTGGCATTGTATTGTTTGAGAAGAAAAAAAAAAGCGTCGTTTTGGTAAATGGCATTCATGTGCATTCACTATATGACCTTATTAAGCATCATACAGTATATTAAATTAATCTTTATTCGGCTTTAGCTTACCTTACATGGAAACTAACTTTTAAGTACTGATGATATGCCTCTGCCAAGGAAATAGATTGGGAGGATTTTGGAGCTAAAGGATCATTTATTTGGTATTGTAAATATCTACTATACAAGCCTAGAACTGTATTGGGCTTGGCCCACTTTTGTTGTAATTAAGCATCGTCTTTGAAATATGCAACTATTAAGGCATGGACTTCTCTTTTCTTCTTTGTTCTATATATATCCGTCATATGTTATAGATTCATAGCTAGGGTTAATGAATGAATTAATGCATGTGACCTCATCTTTGTACTACATTAAAGGAATTAATAAAAAAGAGAATGTTTTGGTGATATTGTCTTCTGTATGTCTGTTGAGTATTACAAGGGTATCTGTTGAGAGTTATGAGTGTATCAATTGTTTCTATTTTCGGGATGTTACAGTGATTAGTTCAAGATTTTGTTCGATCTAATAGATTTTATTTGTTTAATTTGTTTATTATTTGTAGAATAAACAATAAAAAAAAGTTTTGTTTAAAACTGCTATTTGAGTTTGACATTGTTTTGATGACTAATTCTTTGGACATATGTGGATTACTCGTATTTTATATATATGCTTATCTCATGTATATATGACTCTTAGAAATTTGTGAAGGATTTGGTATATCCATAATTTGGTAAAAAATTGCCTCTCCCTGGTTTGATACAAAGTTGATGAAATTGTTATGTTTTTATCCATTAATGTAAATAAAACTCATCAATCTTTTGCATCTTTCAATTACATGACCCCTAAGATGGAGCTGTGAAAATGAGGTCTGTTGCTTTGCATGATGTTTTTCATAGAAGTGATTAACAAACCTAATTGTCTCAGAAAAAAAAGAAAAAAAAGAAGCCCAATATTATTTTTCTTAAGAGTGATTGAAGATTGCAGCTAAAATGTTCAATCATTTGCCACTGATACTGCAAAACTTGGTTGCATTGAACCTAATATTATTGCATATGGCTGAGTTGAACTATTTCTATTGTTTCCATATGTCCGGGTTGTATTGGTATCTTCTCATTTTCATTTGTTTATTTTCAGTTGGTTGGTCAAATTGCACGTGCCGCAACCATTTTCCGAATTGACGAGGTATTACCTAAGTTTCTTAAAATTTGAGTAATTGTAAACTTTAAGTGTATAATCTAAAATATTTCTATGTATTATTGATGGGAAGTTTTTTTACTAAATTAATGGTATTCTTTTTGATCAGCAAAAGAAAATTTATTGATGAAAATCAAATGTACAAATACAAAGATGAACATCAATAAAGGGAGGCGAGTGCCAAAGCATCAAAGCAAACTAGACGATTCCAACTAGGTTGGGACCGGAAAGCAAGCCAATCATCTACTAGCACTACACCATGGCTGGAGAGAAACCAACCGAACAAACAAAAAGCAAAGGAAATAAAAACCACCCCCAACACCCAAAAGTCATTTCAACCATATTATACAATATCATTCAAATCCTAGTCTATATTACCTTGTAAACAGGTCCATATCCACCCTCTCCGAGCTTATTTTCAAATGAAAAATTATTAGTAGCCAATACAATGTTAGTGAAAGTAAACACTTGCAAATTAGGAGAATTAGTATTTCCATCAAATGCCATAGTAGTTCTCTGTGATTCTTTTTGTTCATCCATCAATCCTGTAAACATAACAAACATGCACAAAATTAACAGAGAAAAATGAAAATGAAATATGCAAATTTTCCCATGCCATAGTTATATATAAATGTTAAATTCTCATATCAAGAAGATATTACCTATATATCTTAGAACTCTCTTTCGCAGATACCACATTGTAGAACCTAGTATGACAATAATTACGGCGGTTGTTGTGAGCAAGATGATTAACAACAAGCTTCTCTTGTTACTATTAACTTTCTTGTCTTCTTGTGCTGCAAACATTTTCATGACACATACAGAAATGTGAGATGCAAGGAAAGTGTGTAAGAAAGAAGGATTGCGGAACAAAAATAAACACAAACACAATCAAAAAAATTACTTTGCCCAACGTTTATAAAATAAGTACTATTTTAAGTAGGAAATAACCAATTAAGCTAATTTCTTACTAATCAAACTTTAAAAAAAAAATGAAAAAAGAAAGAAAGAAAGAAAAGAAAAGAAAAGAAAAAACCAAAAAATCGAGTTAAGCTCAAATTTGGATACTAGACTTGACAAACATGCCAAAACAAATGGCAACTAAAATAGAACTTACAAAGTAAAGGTATAACTGTTAAAAATAAAACTTTCCTAAAACAAAAATAATCAAAATTGGACAACCTAAATGATAAAATTAGCCAAATATATACAGTTTTTACTGTTGGGTCGTTTCCAATCTAACAATGGCCTTTCAAAACCAGTCCATCATTGACAGATCAAACAGTTATTTATTATTTTGCCACTCTATGATCCAGTAGGGCCAAATAGACCAAGGCCGCTTAGTCTACATCAAATTACTACTCACTTACAAAACATAAGTCTGATATTAAAATCATAATTTATACTCCAGACCTATGAAGCATGGGTGTTCCAAAAATATTGTTGTCTAAGTACAGGGTACTTAACGAGTACGGGTACACATACTGGTATAGTTGCGGACATACCGGGTACACTTTATATAACTTGTATACATCCAGTACGTAATGGGTACTCCATGTACGTGGTTGGGTACGCCGAGGTCAAAACCAAAATTTCATAATTTTTTAGGAGCACCGGAGCAATTATTATTTGCCCATTTTGAAAAATCAAATAAATATGGGGTGTTTAGTAATAATAATAAAAAGCATATTATATCTATCATTTTGAAGAAACCCTAAATCATTTGAAGAATCAAAGTGAGTTGACTACCCATTTGAAGAATAGAGTTCGTCAAATCTGCTCGCCATTGAACACGACACTAAAGCTCGATATTCTTGTGAGTTCCTCTTTTTCTTCTTCAATTCTACTTCCTCTTTCTTCTTCGATTCTTTTTCTTCTTCTTCTTCCTTCTTATATTCTTTGGATTTTTTTCCCTCTTTTTTCAATTCTTCTTTCTCTAATTTTATTTCAGATTTTTTTTAAGATCCTTCTTCCTCTTTCTTCTTCTTCTTCTTCTTTCTTTTTCATATTTCCAATTTGTTTCAGATTTTTTTCTGATTTTTTTTTTTTTTTTTTTGTATTTTTACATTTTTTTCCCATAGCAGCTGGAATTTGATACAAGCTATAGCCTTATTCCTCTTTAATAGGTAATTACCCACTATGTACCCTTTTTTCTTACCGTTATAGTCTTGTAGTAGACATTCAAAATTATATAAAATAAAAGATAAAAAAAATTATTTACTTTCATAATGGAGTATTGATGTTTTTGAATTGTTGTTTGAATATTTAAAAATTATATACTTTAATTGTCGAGGAATGATTTATTTTTTGATTTTTTAATTTCTCTTTTTAATTATGATATTAAATTTTGATTTGTATGTTGATTGTTTATATATAAATTAAAAAATAAAAATAAAAAATATTGGCATACCCCAGTCGTACCCGTACCTTACTTTTTTTAGAATTTACAATATCGACGTACCCATATCATACTCGTACCTGCACCCGTGCTTCCTGGCAGACAATATGGCAATGCGAGATAAAGAACAGTTTGTGTAATTGTTTCAAATTATGTTGAAATTTTTTATGAAGCAATTTCAAATTTATATATATATATATATATAAGTCTGCCCTATGTCTAGTGTTTATTGCAAAAAGTTTAAAAATAAAGAACAAAAAAAATATATGAGTGTCATGACACTTTTTCCTCATATCAATATGATTTTATCATTTTAGTTGTAGCCTTTAATTTTTAATTTGCATCAAATAAAGACAATTGATATTTATGAAGTGCATGTACGGATGCGGATATAGGTATTGGTATAATATGGATACATTCGTATGGTAAAATATAAAAAAGTAAAGTACGGGTACAGGTACGGATACGACTTTGGCTTTGGCATTGTACATTTGTAAAATATTTATTTTTAATTTGGAGTAATACAAAAATTAGTTTTGTCCCTTCTACATGCTCACTTTTCACTCCTCTCCCTCTCTCTATGTCGTGTGAGTGTGTGTAGTGCTTGATGTGCAAATGTGTGGAGGATGGTGGTGTATTTATAGAAAAATTGGTGTGAAAACTCCAAAATGGCCTTGGTTTCAAAGGAATGAAAAAGTTTGAATTTAGTTTGAATTCAATGGAATATAAGATGATTAAGAAGCCTAGTTGTGTACCAAAACATGATCTTGTTAGGGTTTTGATTAATTAAGTTTGAGCTGGTTACAAGTTCAATACATATATATATCAATATATAATCAAATTGGTGCCCTAGGTCAAATATTCTTCCCTAAATCAAGCAATATATTTCAAAAGGACAACACATGGAGGATTTGAGGTGATTTTCTCAATTTTACATGTGCACAATTTGATATATATCTTGTACATTTTGTGTACAAAAAAAAAATAAATAAATAAGAATAAAGGCACAAACATATATATATATATATAAAGGTACTCGATTTTGGGGTCAAAGTGTAAATCAAATAAGATGTTGGGACTAAAGCTTAATTTATGAATTAGAATATTTATTTAAATGTAGAATTTAATTAAATTAGAGTTAGGAAAAACAATTCGGTTTAGGCTTCTTGTTTTGAATTAAAAGACGATAAATTGAACGAAACATATAGAGAACCATAAATTTAGGGTTTTGAGTGATCAATCTATAATTAGGGAGTTAATTAATTAATATTAGGGTATAAGAAATGATTCCTAAATTACAGGAATCGATTAGAGTTCGCATGGTTTCGATTGGGACGCGTTCTCGATTCTAGGGTTAACATTGCAACTAAATGAGAAATCGAGGGTTTTCATTATAACCCAAAAGTACGGACCTTAATGGAAATACAAAATCTAGGGGTCTTACATTGTCTGGCATCAACTGGTCAAAAATTACTTCCGCTTTGATAATATCAAAAATGTAGGAACGAGTTGTCTTTGTCATTGTGGAATTCCCTCGTGCTTTCATTGGTTCCACATTGACAAATGCCTTGAACACATAAGGCTTTCTGGTTAGAATTTTTGCCACAGCAACCTCATGGTTCAACTCTGCATTTGCATTTGCTACCAAATAATTAGGATCCTTGTAATAGGTGCCTTCGATGCATTCCTCTGGTCTTGGTGCTCTCTAAGGATCTGCTCATACCTAGTTAATCTCGCAGCCAATCTAAATTCCATGACTTCGAATTTCTTTGCGAAGTTTGAAGTCAATGTTGTTTTGAGCCAGCCTGACATACTCCGTTTCTAGAAGAACAATGTGACATTTGAATATAGCTCTGTTGAACCCTGAAATGTAAGCTTCCATTATCTCACCAGGAACTTGGATGATTCTTGACAAGTCGGCCATCATGACTTCAAGTTTCATTCTGTAGAACTGCTGGTGGAACATCTCCTCTATTTGCTGTCATAAATGGACTAAGTCTAGTTGCAGATTAATGTACCAAGTGAAGGTCGTTCCAGTTAAGGAATTGGCGAACAACCTCAACTTCAAGAAGTCATTCTTTCCTACCTCACCACATTATACAGTAAACTTGGAAACATACTCAACAGTAGAATGATTATCTTCACCAAAAAATAGAACAAAATCAAGAACTTTATACCCTCTAGGAAAATCGTAATTTCTATTGATTGTTTCTAGATAAGGCTTTTGATAGATGGGCCTGCCAACACATCTGAATACAAGACCAAATTGTTTCTGGATGAGATCCACAATCTAATCCCTATTCATGGTCAATTCAGATGATGTATCCCCTAATAAGCTCCATATCGTGGTTAGTTGTAGAAATTCTAACCCCTTCCTCTAGGAATTGGCACAAAGTTCTACCTTCTCTATTTAGGAATCAGAGCAAAGTTCTGGCCTCTTGGATCTAGACCAAAATTATGCATTCTTTTTTCAGAAACAAAAGCAAAGTTCTGCCCCATCGGTTCAAGAATCGGGACATAATTTTGTTTTCTCTGTTCTGGAATCGAAATAAAATTATACACTCTATGTTTAGGAATCGAAGCAAAGTTTTTCCCTCTCAGTTCCGGAATTGAAGCATAAGAGTGCCCTCTTTGTTCAGGAATCAAAGTAAAGTTATGCCCTCTCAGTTCTGGAATCGGAGTGTAATTCAATTCTTTTTGTACTGGAACAATGAGTAAAGGGTTAACTTCTAACCAACTTTGCTAGAACTGAGGTTGACCGCTCTACCTAGGCCTAGGACCAACTCCTTAGACGTTTTGCAGATTTTGGTTCTAAAGGTTTTGGTCGTGAAGGTTCTGGTTTGGAGGGTCCTGATATTGTAGATTTTGTGGATTCTGGAGGTTCAAAGGAGTCTAGGCCCCCCTGATTTCGAATGGCCAAAACCAAGGAAGTTGTCCTTCAGTCTTATTGCCTTGTTCCCCTCGTTCAATGTCTTGTCCTCCTTGCCCCTAAGAAATGGGGTTGTCGGAAGAAGAGGCTTGAAAAGCTCTTAAGGCGGTGGTTCAATAGGAACTGGCCTGCTCTAAGGATTTTGCTCCACAACGACATTGAAAATTCCTATTGTAGGTAGAAACAGAGTTGGTGGAAGAATTGTAGAAAGCTTGTCTCCCAAAGTCATCGTCATATTAGCAATTGTTTTCATTAGATCTGTTTGAGATTGCCTCATTCTATGTAGCAGAACGGCCAAAAAATGAGAGAGTTCCATAGAAAGCTCCCTATTGGTCATGATAAAGAAATGTCTCAGATTTTCAATCATATCTTGGAATCCTTCAAAAGTGTGTTGTGCTACTAACGCCGTGAAATCGCTTAATCCTGGACTATTAGGAGGCAACACTACTCTTGATTGACGCATGACACAT